TCATCTTCCACCTCACAATCTCTAGAAAAAGAAGAGAAAATTAAAGTCGGTGTAAGCAGCAGACCAGCGTAGAAGCCAATGGGGGAGAAAGAAAATAAAACAGAGAAACCTATGAAACCAAGAACTAGATCTTTGAGATTATCAGTAAAATTGATAAATTTCTGTCCTGACTGATCAATAAAAGAAAGAAGACACAAATTGCCAGCATCAGGAATGAAAGAGGTGGCATCACTTCATACTCTATATTGAAAGGATGAAGAACTTCGTGCTGATTCAACAGATTAGATGCAATGGGTAACTACTTGAAAGACAGAAACTACAACATTCAGTCGAGGAAAAGATAACCTCAGCAACTCTGCATCCATTAAAAATTCAACAGCATACGCCAATGATAATGTATCACGAGCAAGTGAGATTTATGGCAAGGACACAGGTTGATTTAACACTTGAAAGTCAACCAATATGATCTACCATGTTAATAGACCAATACAAATACTCTTAATAGATGTGGAAAAAAAGTTTGACAAAATCAAATATCCATTCCTGATAAAAACTCTCAGTAAACTAGTAATCGAAGGAAATGTCCTTATACTGTCAAGGGCAACTACGAACTACACGACAACACTATTCTTAATGGTGAAAGGCCAAGGCTCCCCCCTGAGATCAGGAGGAGCAGGGATATCCGTGCTCAGGCCTCCTGTTCCTCTAGTGTTGAACTAGAGCTGGCCAGTGCGATTAGTCATGAAAACGGCGTGAAAGACGTCTAGACTGGGAAGAAGGAAGTGATAAGCTTTTTATTTACAGATAACTTGATTGTACACACAGAAAATCCTGAAGCATCTACTAAAAACTTACTAGAACTAGTAAGAGAATTTAGCAAAGTTCAGATAAGTAGACAAAAATCAATTCTATTTCTACGTATTAGCATTTAACAAAGAGAAACTGGAATTTAAATACTGTTTACAATAACATAAAAATGCCAAAGATAAATCTGACAAAAGATGTGCGAGATCTGTAAACCAAAAACTATAAAACACAGACGAAATAAAGAAGGGCTTTAAATAAATGAGAAGCTATACCATGTCCACTGACTGGGATGCTCAATATTATCAAAGTGTTCATTCTCTCAGACTGATCCACAGATTCAGTGCAATTCCAAACACAGTCCTACTCAGCTTTCTGGTAGAAGTTGTCAAGCTGATCCTAAAATTCATGAGGAAATGCAGAGGATCTTGGATGACCAAAAGAACTTCATGAAAGAACAAAGTTGGAAGATTTATATTACTTGACTTCAAGAATCCTTATAAACCTACAGTAATGAAGACAGCTTGAAATATTTGCATAAAAACAGACAAATAGACCAACTGAACACAGAGAGGACAGAAACAGACTCGTGTATGTCCAGACCACTGATATTCAACAAACGGGCAGAAGTAATTCAGCAGAGAAGGGATTATTTTTTCAACAGTCCTGGAAAACTGGACATCCATTTGCACAAAAAACCCCCACTTTGAATCATCTCTCACATTGTATACCAAACTAACTCAAAATGGGGAATAGACTCAAATGCAAAACCTAAAATATAACATCCTTGTGACTTTGAGTTTAGGCAAAGATGTCTTAGATATGACACCAAAAGCATGATTCATAAAAAATAAAACATTGATATATTGGTCTTCATCAAAATTTAAAATTTCTCCTTGAAAAACTTTTAAGAGAATGAAAAGACAACCTACAGACTCAGAGAAAATATATATAAATTGCATATCTGATAAAAGATTTGTATCCAGAATATACAAATAATTCTCAAAATTCAACAGTAAGAAAGCAACTCAATTAAAAGTGGTTAGAAGGTTTGAGCAGAACACTTCCTTAGAGATGGCAAATAAACAGTTGAATAGATACTGAAGTCATTAGTAAAATACAAATTAAAACCACAATGAGATAAACTCCCACACACATGTGAGAATATCTAAAATTAAAAAGCCTGATCATACCAAGTGCTGGTGAAGATGTGGAGCACACACAGCACAGGGGTGCAAAACTTTACAATCACTTTGGCAGCTTCTTAAAAGCTGAACATAAGCTACCATATGATCCAGCCATTTCATTCCTAGATATTTACCTAAGAGATACAAGCGTATTTGTCCCAATAAAGACTGTGCACAACGTTCATATCAGCTCTATTTGTAAGAGCCAACAACTGGAAACAACCCAGATTTCCATGAGCAGGAGAGTGGATATGCAAACTGTGGAACATTCATGCAATGGATCAACACTCAGCGATAAAAGGAATAACCACTGACAAACCCATCAGCAGGAGTGAACTCAAATTAACTAAATTAACTATGCTGAGTAAAAGAAGCCAGACAAACAGACCTGTGAGAACATGCACAAAATGGAAGGAAACGCAACCAGTGACAGAGCACATCAGTGCTTGCCTGGTGATGAGGGTCAGAGAAGATGGACCACAAAGGGGAAACAGATATTTACTGCTGTGACTGAGGTGATGGTTTCACACATGTATACAAATGTCACAACGTATGAAATTTGGATATGTGGTTTACAGAGTATAAGTTACACCACAATAAAGCTGTTTCAAAGAACCCTAAGGATGGCTCAGGTCTACCTTAAATGCCCCGACCCCCACATTCCCAGCGTTCCTCTGGGTGCGCATGCAGGGACCCTAAGACACAGGTGGGAGGTGGAACACGAAGGGACCCAGGTGGGCGGAGACCTAATCCCATTAAACAGCTTTGGCGGCCGCTGGCACCCGGCCTTCGAGGGACACACAGGAGGGGCTTCGCTCTGACCCGAGGGTCTCTAGGCCCCTCGGGCATCCCTGCGCCTGGGCCCGGAGATTCTCCCCAGTGCGGGGCGGGGCTGGACTCTATCAGGGGCGGGGCTCTGGGCCAGCGGTCCGGCCCACAGCCCATGGACACACCCTCATCTAAAAACCCCACCCCAGGCCCCGCCCCGTGTAGCCTCTGCAGCCCCGCCCAAGGCACGCCCCTTGCCCTCAGGTCCCCCTGTTGTCCAGGCCCCGCCCCTTCCCATCGTTCGCCCGCGGGCCCCGTCCCTAATTCTCAAGCCCTGCGTCGTCCAGACCCCGCCCCGCTCCGGACTCCAACTCGCGGCACTGGCTGCCCCCCAGGCCCCGCCCCGTGTAGCCTCAGCTCCCTCCCCCAAGGCCCCGCCCCTCGCCTCCTGGTCCCGC